ATCCGCCTCCCACTCTCTCCCTATTTATTTCAGAACCCCCTTCCCCTCCCCCTTTTCTGATGAAGGGTCTAGGCCCGAAACGTCAGCCTTTCTGCTCCTATGATGCTGCTTGGCCTGCTGTGTTCATCCAGCCCTGCACCTTGTTGTCTTGGACTTTGTCTCTCCTCTGTGGTCTCTCCCCCTGCCAGATCAGTTTAAAACCTCCCCAACAGCACGAGCAAACATCCCAGCAAGGGTATTGGACCCAATCTGGTTCAGCTGCAACCCTTCCAGCTTGTTCAGGTCCCATGTCCCCCAGAAGCAATCACAATGATCTAAAAATCTAAAGCTCTCTCCTAAACATCCTTTCGCCTCATCTGACCTATCATCCTATTCTGATACTCAGCAGTATGTGGCACTGGAAGTAATCTGGATATTACAACCTTTGCCATCTTCCTCTTTAATTCGCTACCTAACTCTTGAAATTCATGCTGCAGGGCCTCATTTCTTTTTATACCAGTGTCGTTGGTACCAACATATAGCACGACTGCTGATTGTTCTCCCTCTTCAGAATGCCCTGCAGCTGCTCTGAGACATTGCTGACTCTGGCACCAGAGAGGTAATTTACCATTCAAAAATCTTGTTTGCAGCCACAGTTTCCCTTCCAGTCGAGTCCTCATCACTAAAACTCTTCCAGGTATTTCCTCCCCTGCTGTGCAGCAGAGTAAGCCATGGTGCCACAAACCCGGCTGTTGCTGCACTCCTCAGAGAGGCCATTACCCCTCCCCCAACAGTACCCAACATGGTACCTCTGTCTGAGAGGAGAACAGCCACAGGAGACTACTGCACTGCTTGCCCATCCTTACTACTCTTCCTTGTGGTGACTCAACCCTTCTCTGTTTGTGTAGCCCTCACTGGTGGTGTGACCAGTTCAGTAAACATGCATTCCACAACATTCTCAGCCTCGTGGATGCTCCATAATGGACCCATCCATATCCCCAAGTGCTCCATGTGGCAAACCAGGAGCTGCATCTGAACACACTTCCTGCATACATAGTCATCGTGGACACTGGAAATATCCCTGATTTCCCACATATTGCAGGAGAAGCATTTCACGAGACTGAGTTCTCCTGTTATTGTGAATCTTATCAACGACAGACAATAAACTAGGAACAAATATCTCAACCTTATCCACTATTCACCAACTCAAATTTCTCTCTCAGTCTTTCTTTCTCTGTGTCTGTCTCTGTCTCTCTATTCCTACAAACTACAGACCACAAAATAAGGACTTCTCACACCTTCTCCCCCTCCCAGTACTGCTCTCTCTGCCTCTAACATTAGTTCCCAAGCAGACAATCCTTTTCCCTGAACTTAATTTTTTAACCATGATATCAATTCAGGAGCTCCACTCCTCTCCCGCTCCAACTGAGCTCGATCCTCTCCCTCTCCCGCTCCGACTGAGCTCGATCCTCTCCCTCTCCCGCTCCGACTGAGCTCGATCCTCTCCCTCTCCCTCTCCGACTGAGCTTGATCCTCTCCCTCTCCCGCTCCGACTGAGCCTCGATCCTCTCCCTCTCCCGCGCCGACTGAGCTCGATCCTCTCCCTCTCCCACTCCAACTGAACTCGATCCTCTCCCTCTCCCACACTGGCTGAGCTAGCCCAGCATTTTATTCCTGTAATTGCCCAGGGAGCAGTTGTAGTCCCCAACATTGCTGTGAGGCTGGAGTCACACAGAGGTTAGACCAGGTAAGGGAGGCAGATTTCCCTCAAGGACATGAACAATCCAGGTGGGAGTTTAGAATAATTATGTGATTATAGGCAAGCTTTTTATTCCAGATTTTTATTGAATTCAAATTTCATCATTTGGCAAGTTGGGATTCAAACTTATTTCCCCAGAGCATTAGCCTGTGGGTGTGGATGGGAGAAGTGGTTCTGAATTACTTGGCCGTGAGATTCCTACCACAGCTTCACTTTGAGCCAATCAATGGAGAGGTTGATTTTTCATGGAATTATTCATGGTCACAATTACATAGTCATGACAAGAGTGACTTTGCTCATGTTGATATGGGCCATTGTACTGAGGTGGCAGGGGATGGAAAGCTGATCACTGGGAGGAGGTGATGATGTGGAGGTGCCAGTGTTGGACTGGGGTGGACAAGGTCAGAAATCACTTGACACCTCAAATAGTCCAACAGGTTTATTTGAAATCACAAGCTTTCGTAGCGCTGTTCACTCCACCTGACGAAAGAGCAGCGCTCTGAAAGCTTGTGATTTCAAATAAACCTGTGGGACGATAACCTGGTGTCATGTAACTTCTGACTGGGAGGAGGGATGGTGCAGCCAAGATTCCAGCATGGAGTTAGGATAGACTTGGGAGGAGCCAACATCATTAAAAGCTTTGAAAAAGAAACAGAGGCTGGAGACAACATCATGTTCTAATTTCTGACACAACCTTTTCTTTGAAAATTAGTTCAAAGATAATATTCCAAATCTGCACCTGCAATTAACTCCTACACTGCCTTCAGCTGAACTCAAACTAGCAGGAAAATGTTAAAGTGGACCATTAAACTCATCTACTTTACCTCTTCACATAATTAGCTTTCACCTAATTAGCTTTTTAACATTTGGCATATGCAGAATAAATTATGCAGACCTATGGGATATGAAGTGTTCATTCTGGATGTGAACTTGTGTGATACAATTTTCTGCTCAGTGGAAAGAAAGAAACAGGGAGATAGAAAAACAGGCTGCCGTTAGTGCTGGTAGCCCCCCCACTAAAAACACACTGTAGCACTTTATTTTGTAGCCAGCCCTTTGCATGGTGTGAAGTATTCTCATCCATAATTGAAGCAATTTTAATTTGCACACATTGGCAAAGGATGGCTCACAAGGAACTTGGAAGTAAGTATAGTTCATTAGTAAGTGACTTTTTGACCAAATCATTGTATTTGCTTTTGACTTCCACTTTCATGACCAATTAAGTTAAGCAAACATAATAACGCCCACGAGTTGATTTAGTCTCCAGACTTTAAACGGACTCTGCAAAGATGATATTAGATGAATTTTGGAGGTACAGAACCAAAGAAATAATCATGTGGATGGAGTCCTAACATTCTAATTTTATTCTGTACCTTACTTTAGGGTTTCATCCCCGAATTAGTGCTGGGAGCTGTGAGAGCCTGAAGGCAAACACTGTCCCCTCACAGTTGAAGGAAGAGGAAGGAAGTCACTGAGAACAAGGCCTTTTGTGGTGATCACTCGGGTGAAGAGCAGCAGGAATGTGATGCCACACTTTTGAATTCACTGTCTGAAGTAATTTCATAACCCAATCAGGTAAGTGCAGGGCACATTCGGGATATTCTGAAGTATAGAATGAAAACTGCTCACTTTTCCTTCTCAAACCAACTCCATCACATCTCTCCACACTCCAAATTACTTCTTTACGTTGTCGTCTGTCCATCTACATTAGCACGTGCTTTAAGAATGCAATATCACACCTCTCCCTCATAGTAACCCTCAACAAATGTTACTTGTCCATCCAGTCAATTCATGGGCATTTCTTCCCCTTTTTTGAAGAAGATATGGATCATGAGAAAGAGGCTGAAAACCAGAATTGGTTCTTCATCAATCTCACAACTAACATCTACAGAGGAAGGAGCATTTACGATCAGCAGAGTCTTGGTGTATATCTGATTGCTTGAGATCAAGGGATGGGGACTCCCAGCTACTTGGCAACAAGCCTAAACATCACACAGCCATTTGGCTCACACCACTCACTTTCATCATATCGACTTGAAGCTAGTAGTCAGTGAAGGACAATCTGCAGATAATCATCATATAAAACATTCCTATCTTGTCAGATCCAGTTCATGTCCTCAATCTCGGAGAATCACCAAGGATCCCACAAGAGAGTGTCCAAGAGATAACTGACAACTCTTCAGAGGATGTATTTGTGAAGATGCACTGTCGAAAACTCATGTGGACCATTACTTCAGCTCAAACACTGACACTTTGATGGGAGTGGTAAGTACGATAATTGGATTTTCATCTGGTGACTTGATGCCACAAGTGAGCACAGTGGATGGTAGAGTCAAGGATGGCAGCAAAGAAGTCTCATTGGAGGGCATTCCTTTTCCAAGCTTTGCTCAGCTGGCAATGTATGCTGAGATTCAGGGATTGCCAAAAGAGAATATACTTCTGGAGTAGCTGCATAGGATGAGCAATGTCCTGGTGCATTTTCCAATTACACTGGGTGCTCTTGCAGATGTGCAGAGTCAGAAAATTGTGAATTCAACTCCCACTTGAGTGCAGAAATCAAGGCTGATATTCCAGTGGTACTGAGAGAGTGCTGCGTTGTTAGAGGTGTCAATATTTGGTTACAATATCAAACCGAGACCCCACTTTACTTGGAGATAGCAAGAAGTGCAGATGCTGGAGTCAGAGTCAATACAGTATGGAGCTGGAGGAACACAGCAGGTCAGGCAGCATCAGAGAAGCAGGAAAGTTGACATTTCAAAACATCGACTTTCCTGCTCCTCTGATGCTGCCCGACCTGCTGTGTTCCTCCAGCACCGCACTATATTGATCCCATTTTACTTTCTGGGTGGCTGTAAAAATCACATGACACTTTTATAAGAAGAGCAGGGAAATAATCCCAGAGTTCTAACCAATATTTAACCTTTAATTAATAACACTAAATTAGATTATCAGGTCATTATCACATTGCTGTCTGTGGGACATTGTTGTGCACAGATTGGCTGTTGCTTTCCCTATGTTAAAGAAATTACTGCAAGAGTATTTCTTTGGCTGCAAATTGCTTTTGAACAGCCAATGGTCATTAAGAGCAGGACTGCAGGGTGGAGGTCTTTCTTTCTTACAGAGGTATTGGAGGAACTGGTCTCAAGTATGAGTGCCACAGGCATCGGTGATAAGACCTTCATCATGGGAAGAGGGGTCACTATCATGTAGTATCAAACACATGTTTGCATACCCTCACTAATGACTTGTGTACTATGAATGCTGTGTTAAACATGATTCATGATGATCTAGACCTTGAATGACTGTCTGTCATTCATAGATCTGCACAAAGTGTTCCCTGGTTCATTGTGAGCAGGGACGTATGAGACAGTGTAGGAGGTGCAGGACTATCATGTGAATCATATTGAAAGGGACACAGATATTCAATGTACTTTCACCTCTCACCCATTGGCCCCATCTCAGTCAGTATCACACACACTATCTCCCAAACCGGTTAGAACTGGGTTGACCATGTGGTTTTCAGGAGGGTGCACCAGTGGATCCTGATTGAAACTCACTAGTCAGAGCAGCAATATGCACTGTTGTTCGGACATTGGTTCTTCGACATTCCTCCTCTGAAAAGCTTCTGTGCACTGCACCTTCTTCCTCCTGAAGATCCTGCAGGCTCATTGCTGTACAGTGATCTGTAGAGTACAGCACATCATGATCATTCAGACGTCCCCAGCTTATGTACATTGAAGGGCACCTCCAGATTTATCCAAGCAGCTGAGATAAATCCTCAGCATCTTCCCTGGCTTGTTCAACTGCTCACTGCCAGCTAGCTTTCCTTATGGGGTTCCTAGGCCTCATTTTGTTCAGTTTTCCACAAATGCCATCAGTCTACTTTTCCTCGAGGACCTCTTGTCTTTGAGTAGTCAGGTACAAGCCTGTTTTCCGGTGTGAAGGGAGGTTGCACTGGTACATGATGAATGTAACAGGGTAACTACTCAGGAATATCACACATCCCTGCATAATGACATTTTTTGTGGTTGCCCACCAGCTGAAAATGTATGGAATGAAAACTCTTGCAGTTCATGAACACTCCTTGGTGTTCTGGTAGCGCTTTGAATGATACATGCATCCAGTTGATGGAGCCCATTTGGATTTAGTTTTCTGCTAGCTGCTCATTCCTTCTGCCCTCTGCTGCAAAAGGTCTTTGCGATCGAGGCAGCTGCTGTTGACGTTCTGCTCCTCTTGTTGTTGGGGCTGGTGTTGATACTAGCCATCTTATTAATCATCTGAGGCCAAGGCCAGTGCAGTGTTTCAGCACCCATACTGATCTGAGAGATTAAAGCTGCAATGTGGAGAGAAAACAAACATGAGGATAGGAGCAGGCCATTCTGCTCCTTCAGCCTGCTCCACCATGCCAGATCACGGCTATCAATGACATATTCCTGCACTATCCCACATCCTCGATGTCGTTTGTAACTAGAAATCTATCAGTCTCTGCCTTAAACTTTATGAATGACTGATCTTCCACAGCACTCTGAGGTATAGAACTCCGACCATTCACAGGCTCCGAGTGACAAGATTCTTCCTCAGCTCAGTCCTAAATTGTTAGATTTTTATTCAGAGACTGTGCTCCCTGATTCTAGACCCCACAGGAAGGAGAAAAATCCTTTCTCCTTCCTGTTTATCGCTTTCATAATTTTATAAGTTTCCATGAGATTGTGTCCATCCTTCTAAGCCTCAGAGAATACAGACCCAGACTCCTCAATCAAAAGACAGTCCCAGCACCCCACTAATCAGCTTGGTACACACTCTCTCTCTCGAAAGTATATCTTTCCTTAGCATTAGGACCAGAACTGCACACAATATGCCAGGGTGTGATCTCACTCGTGTTCCAGACAATTGAAGCAAACTTATTTGCTCCTCTGTTCAAATCTTCTTCCAATAAAGGCTAAAGTGCTGTTGCTTTCAAATTGCTTGCTGGACCTGCATCCTAACTTTCAATCAGTTATAAACAAGGACATTTTCAGACATCAACATTTTCCAATCTCTCACCATTTAAGAAATACTCTTCACGTTTGTATCTTACCAACGTGAATATCTCACACTTATCCACATCATATTGCATCTGCATGCTTTTACGCTCAGTCTGTCTAAGTCTTGTTAAAGCCTCTTTATCACCTCCTCACAGTTCACATTCCCACCTACTCTTGTATCATTTGAAAACTTGGAAATATTACAATTAGTCCCCAGAACCAAATCATTAATATAGATTGTGAACAGCTGGAGATCAAGCAGTGTTCCTTGCTGTTTCCACTGGTCACAGCCTGCCAACTTGAGAATGATCCAATTATTCCTGCTAGCTTCCTGCCTGTAAACCAACTCTCCACCCATGTTAGTACATTACCACCAATCCAATGCATTTTAATTTTCTTTTCTAACCTCCTGTGCGAAACTTTATGAAAATTCAAGTATACCTCATCGACTGGTTCCCCATTATCAACACTGCTAGTAACATAACTTATTGACTGTTCAGTTAGACAAACATACCTCTAAAATAGTGCAACTGACCTCCAGAGTAATGAAAATGACTTCCAGGGTAATCACGTCAATCTGTTGTGAAAATAAGCTGAAATTGATTCCGGAGTTGAGGGGGTTGGCTTATGAGGAGAGACTGAGTAGATTGGGATTATATTCATTGGAATTCAGAAGATAGAGGGGAGATCTTATAGAAACATGTAAAATTATGAAGGGAATAGATAAGATAGAAGTAGAGAGGATGTTTCCACTGGCAGGTGAAGCTAGGACAAGAGGGCATAGCCTCAAGATTAGAGGGAGCAGATTTAGGACTGAATTGAGAAGGAACTTCTTCACCCAGAGAGTTGTTAATCTATGGAATTCCTTGCCCAGTGAAGTAGTTGACGCTACTTCAGTAAACGTTTTTAAAGATAAGGTAGATTTTTTTTGAATAATAAAGGAATTAAGGGATACGGTGAGAAAGCGGGTAAGTGGATCTGAGTCCACGAAAAGATCAGCCATGATCTTATTGAATGGCGGAGCAGGCTCGAAGGGCCGGACAGCCTACTCCTGCTCCTAGTTCTTATGTTCTTATGTTCTAATTAATCTCCAGCGAAAGAGTGCTGTGAATAAAAGCATTTCACACCATTAAGCCAGACATCAGCTGTCAGTTTTCAGTATTCGGTGGGAGAATTTGTCTTTTATTTCTTCTTGCAAATCAACTGTTGCAGTTGTGTCCTCTTCCATTGATAAGATCCAGGGATATTGTAAAAGCATCCAAATCAAAAACTCCAAGTTAAAATCACACTTAATAAACAATTCAATTTAAATTAAAACAATGTTGAAACTTACAACTTGTCTCTCCTACTTGGCCTAAAACACAACAGTTATAAGTGAAAATTGGCAGGTTGGAGCTGGCTTCCCAATGCCTCATTAATTTCAGTTTTTTAGCCTTCAGTCCCAAACCTACACACTTCTACAAACAAAAATGCTTTCCAGTGTGTGACAGCTTTTTTTTAAAATATAAAAACAGATGCTAATTACACACTAAATGGTCAGAAAAGCCTTGTTTTCTTCAAAGAATTTAGCGTATGGTTAGCAATAAAGATCAGAAGACATAAGAGGAAGAAGCAGGAGTGGGCTGTATGACTCTGTGGAACTGCTCTATCATTCAATGAGATCATGGCTTATCTTTTGCCTCAACTTCACCTTCACCACATCCTTTATTCCTTTACTATTTAAAGGAGTGTAATCACAAAGCTGTGAATGAGGTTAGATGCAGGCAGTTCCCATCAGGTGATGAGGCTTTCCTTGCAATCATTCTGTTATCTTTTGCTTTTAGACAGTCCATTGGGTAGAAGGTAGATTTGAGAAGTTCTGCACAATGGTCCTCTCATTCTTCGAACTTCCTACCTGACAGCATAGGATTTGAGCAGGATCAGGCCACTTGGCCCTTTGTGCCTGCTTTGCCATTCAGTTAGGTTATGGATAATCTGATTGTGGTCTCTGTCAACACCACTTTCTTCTCTACTCCAATAACCCTTGGCTGTCAAAGATCAATTGAACTCAGTCTTGAATAAATTCAATGAACTAGCTATCACTGCTTTCTGGGAAAGAGACCATCTGAGACAGGAAATACCTCCATCTTGAAAGGAACACCTCTTGATTTTAAACTCTGCCCTCTAGTTGTATTCACCGTTCACGAAGAAATATCCTCTTGGTATTCGCCTGATCAATCCCCTTGGGATGTTCTATGATTCAATACCCTTTCTTAAATGGGTATAAGCTTTACTTGTACAAACTTTCTTTATATGATAAAACTTTTATCCCAGTAATGAGTCAAGTAACTTCTCTTTAAATGATTTATGATGCATTTATATACTTTTGTAAATATGGGAACCAAAACTATATGTAGCACTGCAGGAGGAGGCGATAACCTAGTGGTATTATCACTGGACTGTTAATCCAGAGACCCAGATAATGTTCTGAGGACCTGGATTTGAATCCTGCCATGGCAGATGGTGTAATTTGTATGCAATAAATATCTTGAATTAAGAATCTAACGATGACTGTGAATCTGTAGTCAATTGTCGGAAAAACCCATCTGGTTCACTAATGTCCTTTAAGGAAGGAAACTGCCATCCTTACCTGGTCTGGCTGACACGTGAGTCCAGACCCATATCAATGTGGTTGACTCTTAACTGCCCTCTGGGCAATTAGGAATGGGCAATAAATGTTGCCTAGCCAGTGACGCCCTCATCCTGTGAATGAATAAAGAAAAAAAAAGATGTGGACACACCTGTGCAGATGTGGTAAAACTTCCATAGTTATATATTCCATTCCCCTTGCAATAAAAACCAATATTACCTTTGCTTTCCTAATTGCTTGTTGGCACTTGCATATCAACGATTCATGTACCAGGACAGCAAGAGTCCTCTGCACCATCGAGTTCTGCAATCTCTCTCCATTTAAATGGGGCATTTCTATTTTTCTTGCCATATTTTTGCCTATTCACCTAACCTACCTATATCTCTCTGTAGGCTCTGCTTCCTCTTGACAAATTACCTTTCCTTCCAAACCTATCTGCAAATATTTCTATGTTCTTTCAGTATTCACTGTCAGTGTAAACTTCTCGTAGGATCGTTGGGGGAATGTTAGCCTCATGTATGTCATAGGGCTATCCTCTTTTAGTTCACTTCACAAAGTACTAACTCAATTCCAAACGCCAAATCAAATAGTGTTTTTGACAGTGCTGTCTCACTACTGCAGGAGAGGTACTTCCAGGCTTTGCAGATTAAATTCAGCAAAACTGTGTCTACGCTTAAATGACTGCTGCAATCACAACATCACAGAACTCATTTGATTTCAAATTCAGAGCTTGCTATGCATAGGAGATGAAATATGACTTGGAAATTACCCTGGAAAATTCACTGCATGGTTTATGGTTGTTGATATAGGTTTCCCACAAGTGCTTCTAGACTTGATATGATGCATTAGCATTAAATGAAGGTGTACAAGGTTAGCAAATGCATCAGGAAAATAAATGTGATCTCGATCATATTGGGGTAATGTCAAAAAAAGTATCACATACGAACCCCAAAAGACAATCAATTCCCAGTTCTCTTTGGGCTATATATCTTTGTAAAATCTGATCTTTCAAGCAACAACCTTAAACTGATGACAAAATATGCAAAATCACATTTGTTGATCTCATCACAGCATCACACACAGTCAGAATAGTAAGTGCTTCGGAAAATGGTACTTTCAATTACCTTACATAATATCAAACAATTGACACAATTACTAATTATAAGCCATGCACAGTACATAGAAAGAAACCTCCTCCAGATAATCAAGCAGGCAAGCAGTCATAAAGCATTTTTCAGTGGCACAAAATGGGTGCAATGGAAAATTTGGAATAAGCAGAAGACAGATAGGGCCATATATTTTTATGCAGTGGTATGCTTCCTCAAAGTCCACGATACAAACAATGATATCCTTTTGAACTGAGGTCATCTGCAGAAACCTCAGCCAGCTACATAAACAGTAAGGGATTCTAGTCCTTCATTTGGAAACAGTTTCCCTGAGAGCATCCTATCAAATTTATCAGGTCTCCCTCTTTTCTTATCTTCTCCAGAAAAAAAATCTGTCAAATTTTCTGCTCACTTATCCTAACATTACACCTTCTAGTCTCACCAGCCTGGAGAAACATCCCATCTGTATTTACCCTGTTATACTCCAGAAGAATTTTATAAGCTTCAGTGAGATCGCTTCTTATTCTTCAAAGCTCTTGAGAGTGTAGACCGAATTTGCTCAATCTCTCCTCACAAAATAATCCCACCATCATGTGGTGAACCTCTACTGAATATTGTGTATTGCAAGTGTATCTTTTAGTGTGTAACAGGTCTTCCAGCAGTTGGTGCTGGAGGGCACTGAGCAATTCACCAAGACCGGCAGGGGGTGGCAATGAAGGGGTTAACTAGAGTAGTCAGTTAGACTCTTGCTGGGGACCAAAATGTGGAAGGAAGGCTGATGGGAAAGAAGACCAGGTAGACAAAGGATTCTTGAGTCCAATGTAAACCATAGGCTTTGTTCCATGTACATATGATAAATTGTCTCTTTCTTAGCCTTAATTTTCCCTTTCTACATCTAATGACCCAATAGCAGTGGAATAAAGAATTCCCAATTCATGATCATTGCCTTACATGTGTTCAACTCTCATTGCATTTATTAAAGGAACCTAAACTCCACGCAATATTCCAGCTGTAGTTTCAGCAAGCTTCTATACAACTGCAGCTAGATATCTTTATGTCTATACTCAAATCCCCTTGAAATGGATACAAACATCTGCATTCCAAATTGTTTGCTGCACCTGTGTGCTGGGTTCAATGATTCATGGACAAAGATATCCAGATCCCTTTAAACACTTGCAGTTCTCAATTTCTCACCATTTTAGCCTTTCTGCTTTTTCTACCAAAGTGAATAACTTCATACTTATTCACGTTATAGGCCATGTGCCACATTCTAATCCATTCAATTAGCCTATCCAAGTAATGCCAAACCCTCCCTCCATCAATTCAACAGGTGTTATCAGATCTTAAAGTCCAGCTCTATGCAAAATTCAGAAATGACATTAACTCGAAGCTAATGACAACTGAGCTATATATTCTCACTGGTTATGTTTCACTCAATTGAATGATTTAATTTCTCGAGATGGACAGCTATTGCAGATTGTGTTAGGGTACAATGATTTGTTTCTGCAAAAAAAGTGAGTCATCGTTTTGTTCATGATTTGTGGATGAAAGTTTAAGGTTTTTATCTTGCAGCTACACTTATGTTATGAAAACAACTCACGTTAAGTTCCTACCTGATGTCACCAGCCAATTTGGAAATAATGCAATTTTGACCCCACATCCAAATAGCTCATCAAGTTTGTGAACAGTTATCAACCTAGCTCTGACTTTTGCAGTATCTCACTGGTAACAGCCTACCATCCCTGAGAATGATCCATTTATTTCCACTGCTTTGTGTCTGTTAACCAATTCTCAGTCCATACCAATATATCACCCCCATCTCAGGCCCCTTAATTTTATTTACAAACCTTCCTCATCAAAAGCCTTTTAAAAATCCAAACACACAACATCTATTGATTCTCCTTTGTCTATGCAACAAGTAGTGTCTTCAAAAATCTCCAGAAGACTTGTCAAACATGATTTTGCTTTCATAGAATCCTTACAGCATGGAAGCAAGCCATTCAGCCCATTGAGTTCACACCAAACCTCCAATGAGCATCCAACCCAGATCCAATCCTAACCCTATAATTCCCATGGCTAATTCACCTAATGTACACATCTCTGGACATTATGGGCAATTTAGCATGGCCAATCCACCTAACCTGCACATCTTTGGACTGTGGGAGGAAACCGGAGCACCTGGACGAAACCCATGCAGACATGGGGAGAATGTGCAAACTCCACACAGACAGTTGCCAGAGGGTGGAATCAAACCCGGGTCCCTGGAGCTGTGAGGCAGCAGTGCTAACTACTGAGCAATTGTGCTGCCCTTCATAAATACACATTGATCCTGCCTAATTTTACAATTCTGTTTTAAATATTCCATTATTGCATCTTTAGTCATAAATTCTAATGTTTTCCCTTCCAGGTTTCATTGGCATGCTGGCGGAAAGAAGCAGATCTCTGGTAAATCCAAATGTTCAGAGATAACAGTGTATTAACAATGTAGAATTTGGCCATTGCCATCACATTATTTGTTTGATATTTGTGATTTTAATGAACAATGGAATGTCTGGTTTTATGACAGTTAAGATACCCTAATAATGCTGAGGCATAGTGGTTACCAGAGTCTGTAAGCTGCACTCCAAACTGTCCCCTATTACAGCCTATGCTTCCAGTTGTGGATCTGATGCTGATCTCATTGCTCCACTGATTCCTAGGATAAACTAATACTTCCATTATGACGCTGCAAAGGAGATTGTTACATTTGAGAGTCATATTTGTCAGTTTCCCCAATCCAAAGACTGCTCACAGAGCTTGCACAAATGTAAGATGTACCTTAGTTATCTTGCCTTTCATGATCAGTTAACTCTCGCCTCATTTACTCTGAAGCTATGCCAATTTCTCCTCAGCCTCCATAAACAGTACAGCATGTGCTGTGTCACTCTTACTTCCTCTATTTCCCTTGTACAGTGTGAATCATTTGCCATCACATGCTGAGACTACAAATCTCAGCCTATTAAGATGCTCAGTTCATGCCTGAGAGTAAGGAAACAAATTGTATGGAGTGGTGGCTTAAGGAAGGCAAGGCAGAATGAGGACACTCCATAGGTTCTCATAGTCTTCCTCATTATTCTCATTCTTACAAGCATCAGGGAGCAGCATTGCTTCAGTTTTACCTCATCGTCCTTTATTTATTAATGTGTCAGATTTGCACTGAAGGAGGTAAGAGGTAAGAACTGGTAAGAACTAATCCCTTGGAATTAATGGACAGGAATGTTTTTGTCTGTCCGATGCTTTACAAGGATTCTAGGCAGACAGTATAGGTACTAAGTCACTAATCTAAAACCAGTCGTTGTTGCCTTCATCAAATGCCCTTTGATTCAAGAATGCTGAATCTGCCAGATCACAGGTTTCTGTTATGGATCTTTATGTGACTGAGGAGGTCAATTTTCAACATGCTTTTTGGGCAGTTTCCTTCTTAACAGCACCATGCATGTATCCAATCCATTTCCCTTCTATCACCTTCTCAAGGGCACTTTGACATGGGAAACAAATGCTGGCAATAGTCATGAACATATAAAAAAAAGTAGGGCACCTGTGAGGCTATGGGATCTGAGGAAGAGTTTACTTCTGTTCATTTTCTTCTCTGCCTCATCATTAAGGTGTTAAAGGTTTCTAGCAACTGGTGGGAAGCTCCTGCCAGTCATTAAAGTCAATGCTACTGCAGGAGACTTCAAAGTGGAAGATTTGGAATGTTGACTATTTTATAGTTGAGAGAATAGGACCTGTGAGAAGAAATGATTTTCAACCATCTGGACACAGCGTCCAATCCATCGAAGTTACCTTGGCAGGAGTTTTGCCTGAATGTTGAGGACCTGGCTTCAAGAATGATTTTGACATTTCTTTTACAGTCGTCCCACTGATTTCCAGACTGCCAATTTAGCAAAGGTATTGCTATTGAAATTCTCTGGTGCGCTCAAGCAGTACTGATTCACCATCTTGGTCATTTTTTGATTCTTTTTTGTAGGATGTGGATGTTACTGGTTAGTTTCAGCATTTGTTGTCCATTCCTAATTGCTTTTAGGGTGGAAATTGTAGATTGTGTGGGTCTATGATGGTCTGTTTAGTCTGAATGCAGAGCCAAATGTGGTTATTCAGTTTTCCGATTAGGCAGTATTTAATACTTACACCAGAGGGCAGTTGTTCTTTCAGGAGGTGAATAGGTAGTGTCAATTGATTCTAAATAGTATGGGGATTATCAAACAGTCTTGCTAATCACAGTATGGAATTTGAAGGAATTTATCTGTTTCAGATCTTCCAACCAAGACATTTGCAATCATACTACCATGACGCAAGTTGGTCTAATGAGTAAACTCTCGGTTTCTTCCTTAAATAAAACAAAGAACTGTGGATGATGGAAATATGAAACAAAAACAGAAAATGCTGGAGGAACTCAGCAGGTGTGTCAGTATTTATGGAGAGAAAAATACAGTTAACATTTGGAGTCCAGTGACAGAAGGGTTCTGTTACAATTCCTTCACAATTAAATTGAATTAAAGTTCAATTGGTTAAACAACAATATGGTGTGGGCTTCAGGGAACGTGGAAGCATTGTAACAGCAGAATAACCAGTTCCAAACCATTAACTTTGTCTCGCTCTGCCAGATCTGCTATGTTTCTCAGCATTCTCTGTGTTCAATTCAGATTAGGGGAGGTGATAGCATAGTGCGCTTATCAAGGGACTTCTAAATCCAAAAAAAACCCACATAATTTCTGGGGACCTGGGTTCGAATCCCACCAAGACAGATGGTGGAATTTGAATTCAATAAATGTCTGGAATTAAGAATCTAACGAGGACCATGAATTGATTGTTGGGAAGAAAACCCCTGGTTCGCTAATATTTTGTAGGGAAGGAAACTGCTATACTTACCTAGTCTGGTCTACATGTGACTCCAGAACCAAAGCAAAGTGGTTGACTTCTAGCTGCCTTCTGGTCAGTTAGGGATGGGCAACAAATGCTGCCTACGCAGCGACGCCCTCATCCCACGAAGGAATAAAAGAAAATTTGGCATCCGCGATATTCTGCTTTTACAACAACAGAATAATTCCCGATTTGCAGCTTCTACCCGTTGACAGGTGCACAGCTTTTGCGCAATGTAAACTGTCGATATTGATGTAATCGACTAAAACACAGAACTGTGGATGCTGGACAGCTGAAACAAAGCAGAAATTGCTGCAGAAACTCAGCGTGTGGGGGAAGGAAACAGAGCTAATGTTTCAAGTCCAGTGACTGGTTTCTGATGAAGTCACTGGACTCGAACATTAACTGCTTTCTTGCCACAGATGTAATGTGTTGATATTGTTGCTGTGCAGACAGTTTCCGAAGCTGCTCTCTCCAGAGTTCCACTTTCAGAAACCATGGTGCTCCCTCCAGTGGAACCCCAGTCAGTGCAATCCTGTTGGCAACGCTCCCAACCAATCCGCACTGAGCACTGCAGGGCCAACGTTCCAAAACAAAAGCAACATTCCAAAACAGAATGTCACCCGGCTGGGCAACAATGGGGGCGGGGCGCCCCTACACCACCCAATTACAGTGGGGAAAAGAGGCGGGAAGCCCCGCAGTATTGGCCAATAGGTTTGGGGCAAAGAGGCGGAGCGTCCCCGCATCAACCAATTGAAGAGGAGGAAATCGGCGGCGCATCTCTGCACTGACCAATGGGCAATGGGGAAGGTGTCCGTATGTTCCGTACCCCCTCGCGCACCAGCCAATGGAAGAGGGAGATGGAGGCGGGGCGCACCCTCCCTGAGACACTGACAGGTTCCCATCCTCAGCCCAGTTCAGAGCTAGCAGCCGCCAGTGGATGCGAAGGGAAAGGCAGCGAGAAGGAAAAGTGAGTGTTCCATAACAACCTGGACACAGAGCGCTCCAACCGGCCCATGTCTTCATCATCACCCGGGACAGCTGGGAAATCCTAATGCAACTGCCAACTCGGGCAAGTCGGAAGTGTAATCCCGGGGGACCGGAGTGCGGAGGTCCGGAGGAAAGGAGCGACCAGAGAAGGGTGCGCTTGCCCCGCGTACGGAGGGGTGAGGATCGCACTTTTGCGCCTTCCCCACGCCGGGATCTCTGCAACAGTTCCGTGCGGAGATTGGGTGCAGGGCGGAACAAGTCCGTTGTCGGGTGTGAGTAAATGAATTCCCGGACACTAACTCTGCTTTGATCAAATATCTTCCCGGGGGTCGCGTTGGAGGAAATCATCTCCGAGATCACTGTGCCCGGTGACTTTAAGCAGGGTCCGGATCGTCAGGAGGATCGGTGAAGGATCTCTCTCATTCCGGGAGAGCTTTCCTGTGGAGGCGCTCCATCGCAACTTGAATGTTGGATGGGTCGCTCAGAATCCGATAGGTTTCTGACCCAGAGGCGGGCACCACGAAGTCTGCGCACCCCGGGCTAATTGACCCCACCCCGCCTTCTCTCGATCCTTTTTTCGGTTTCCTTGCACTTCTGGAATTGCGCGCAGCTCTGCCATGAGTTCTCCTCTATCGACAGGGGCGATCATCGCCATTGTGTTCAACTGCATCTTGGCGCTGCTGGTGTTAGTCCTATTGGCTATCTTGTACAAGGCTTGCAGGCAGCCTTCCACAGCGGAGGAGAAGACCCCGATCGCTGACTTGGGGCAAATGAAAAGTGAAGAGAAATACTTACTGAATCCCTGACGCTGAGATACGAGCGTCTCTTAAAGGCGGGCGAGCAAAAGAAACATAGACACACGTACAGCGAGTTTAACGGAAAGGCTGACACACGAGAATGTCACCTGGAAGATTTCTTCTTCAAAATCTGAAGCACGTGAGCCACAAAAAGCAAAGAAACATTGAGGAGTGAGGAATATCCGCGAAATAGTGGATCACTTTAAAAAAAGAACTCAGAAAAAAAAACACTTTGGAAGTCTGACAAAGTATAGTGTTGAAAGGATGGAATACCCAGGACTTGGATCCCGGTCAGTGTCAGATCGGCAGAGACGGGGCGTAAAATCTGTTGTACTTTTTAAAAAAAAGTCGCAATAAGCAAACAGTAAAAGATCGGTCTGAAACGCCGTTAGATTTGGGTTGAATTGAACATGTCTTACTCGCTGTTATCCGCTTTTCAGTGTAGCACAATGCAGGCTTACCCCAAAGCTATGTGTCCAGCGAGAAAGCCGGAACGTGCTTCCATAACCAGAGAGACTGAAGTCTTCTTCCCCACCGTCAGGCGCGGCTCCCCTCAGCTTTGTGTAACCTAGTTTAATTAAAAAAAGTCTGACACTCTCGATGGGATTTTATCAGCATTTGCCAACTTGCACTGTTCAAATATTTACTTGGACTTTTTTAGTATTTCTAAATTATATGCATCTATATCACAGTATGGCAAGGTTATTGTGGAAATTTATTTTGTCTTTTTTTAAACGTTTTTTTAAAATATATATAAACCTGAAAAGGTGTAAGGAGGCGCGGCGCATTCATTGATAGTAAAATGAACAGTGAGGAGATTTTGATGTTCGTCACTACAACGCCCTTCGTCAAGAACGGAAATAGTATTTGGTAGTAAAGTCACGCCGATGAATAGTTTGGATCAAATGCTGTGTTTCAGGTGGTGTAGCGATATGGCGGACACAGTGGGAATGAAAGATTATGGTGCTCAAATCTGTTTGGTAGGGGTCGCCAACTTGGAGTAATTGAATTTTAGCATCGGATAACAAAGAAAACGCAGAATGACTAGCAGCATCTGTGGAGATAAAAACAGAGTTAACGTTTCGAGTGCGATATGACTTTTTCAGAATTAATAACGAAACCTTGTTTTGCCCTAGCCTATAGCAGATAAATAAACAGAAGATCAAGGGAAATCGTATGAAGCAAATACGGTTTGAGGCTTTATCCCCCGTTAGTTGTTCAGTGAAAATTTATCTTTATAATGTGCCCAGTTTACTCTTTATTTGAAAAAAAAATCTGTTAATGATAGAGTTGCAGTTTTGAAGCCCTTAGTTTGTAGCAGAATTTAGCATCAGTTTATAATGACCGGGGAAAGATTTGCAGTTTATTCAACATACCGTATCGTGTTTATGCTTACCGAAGCTTTAGGCTGAGCATTAATATAGAATTTGATGCAGACGGAATGCCCTGATCCTAATCCGAATTTGTGATTCAGAGCAACTTACACTGGACCCTAAACAGTAACTTTGGTTTCTCTCCACAGATGCTGCTAGACTTGCTGAGTTTTTTCCAGCAATTTCTATTTTTATTTCTGATTTACAGTATCTGCAGTTCTTTAGTTTTCTTTTAAAAGAAAACTAGATATCTGTAGCACATTCCCTTAAGTGTAAATCTTCAATCTTTTTGAAGTTGAACTGAGAAGGCACATAATATAATGGCAGACATGGGTTGTTAAGTTGCTTTGTTTCACAGAAAATATGCTGTGCCTCGGTTACTTCAAGTCACTTAATACAATCAGTACAACTTGACTTCAGGTAATAACAAACTGATAAACATGTTATGCTTCTCCACTTTGATTAACTTAACAAAACTAACCTTTTATTCCATATTCTAATCTGAGTCTGGAAGTATTTAACCCTACAACAATTAGATTTTATTGTCACGTGTACTCAAGTATAGAAATACAGGAGAGCAGTGAAAAGTGTACAAAGTCACCATTCTCCAATTGATTACAAAGCCAGAATAAATAAAAGCAGGAATAAAGGAAACAAAGCCAAAAGGAATGAGAAACATCCAGACATTAAAGTCTTATTTTAAGTCTTATCTCCCTGCAGAAACCCAAGCCAAGCCACAGCCTGGAGTCTTGGGAGGAGCTGGGTGCTTGCTGCTGCTGACGATACTGCCTCCAGTCTCCTTCTCCTGCTGTTGCCATCTCTGATTCTGTAAAGTCTGGTGTCACAACCAGGTCCTGGAACGACAGCCTGCAATTGCTGGATCCCTCGCTGGGACCCAGAACACACTCCATGGTGGTATTCTGATGTATTCGCCCTTGTACTTCTCGAGGGTAGTGACTGTTGGTCTGGAAGGTGCTGTCTGAAGACCCTTGGTGAATTTTGGTATTGCATCTTGTAGATGCTTCATCGTGCTACTATTGAGTGCTGTTGGTAGAAAGAGTAAATGTATGTGGATGTGATGTGAATCAAATGGGCCATTTTGTCCTGCATGGTGTCAAGCTTCTTGAGTGTTGTTGGATCTGTACTCATCCAGGCAAATGGTGAGTATTCCATTACACTCCTGAATTGTGCCTTATAGACAGCAGACTGGCTTTCTGGATGTGAGGGGTGAGCTACTCCATTATTCTTAGCCACTGACCTTCTCTTGTAGTGACAATACTTACTTGGCTAGTCTAGTTGAGTTTCTGGTCAATGTCAACTCCCAAAATATTGATGGTAGGAGATTCAGTGATGGTAATACCTCACAAGACAAGGGACAATAATTAAATTCCCTCTTAATGGAAATGGTCATTGCCTGACATGTGTGCATAAATGTTACTTGCCAACTAAACTTGGATACTTAACTGCACTTGGATATGGACTGTGTCAGTATCTAAGGAATTATGAATGGTGCAGAACGTTGTGCAATCATCACTGAACATCCTCACTTTTTACCTTATGACAGCAGTAAAACCATTAATGAAGCAGCTGTACATGGTTGGGTCACAGACAATACAAAAATACAAACAAGGAACAAGAGTATGCCACTCAGCCCTTCAACCTGCTCCACAACTCAATAAGATCTTGGTTGATTTTAACCTCAACTCCATCTTTAAGGTTTCAGAGTAGATTTGTAGCTCGGGTTGTGGATGTTGTGGTTGGTTGGCTTGCCGAGCTGATTCGTTGTTTCACAGCTGTTTTGTTACCCTGCTGGGTAACATCTTCAGTGCAGCCTCCGATGAAGTGCTGTTGTGTTTTCCCACCTGTTACTTAAACTCTGGAGCCCGTTGAGCTGGGTTACCTCACTTCTTGTTTTTCTTCGCAGTGGAGCGCATATGGGGTCTAGCTCTATGTGTCTGTTGATGGCTTTCTTCGTGGAGTACCACACTTCTCATCTAATTCGATTGGGAGAACACCAAGATTCTGGGACAAGCAAAGCAGAGACAAGCATGGGAATTCCTCGAAGCGTGGTTCCCCTTGATAATTAAATATTAAATATCTATCTACCTTTGCTTGGAAAATATTTAAATATTTTGCATCCACAGCAGAATTCCAAAGACTCTCAACCGTCTGAGAGAAAAAAACGTTTCCCATCTATTTTAAATGAAAACCTTGTATGTTTAAAGAATTACCCGTAGTTCTAGATACTCCCACAAGAGGAAACATCCTTTCAACATCCATCCAGCAAGTCCACTTAGAAACTGACATGTTCCAATTACGTCATCTCTGACTGTTATAAACTCCAGATAAGACTGTTATAAACTCCTCATAAGGCTATTCGCTTATTCCAGGCATTGGTTCAGTAAACCTCTGAACTGCTTTCAATGCATTAATATTCTTCTGTAATTACAGTGACTGCTACTGTCCACAGTATGCCAGATGCAGTCTCACCAATGCCCTATTTAACTGAGGCATAACCTCCCCACTCTTGCATTCAATGTACCTCACACAAACCCTAACATTCAATCATTTTTCCTGATATTTGGTCCACCTGCATATTAACCTTCTGTGATTCATGCATTAGGACACCCAGAATACTTTCTACCAAAATGGATAACTTTACATTTTTCCACATTCTTTGCCAGATCTTTTCCTACTCACTTAACCTAGCTGCATTGCTTTGTAGGCACCTTATATACTCTTCACAACTCAGTAAATTTCTCTACCATACCTTAATCCCTTCTTCCAATCTTTTATATGAATTGTAAAAGTTGAGGTCCGATGACTCTTTACATCCTGCCAGCCTGATAAAGATCCACTTTTATCTTCTATCCTTTGAATATATTACTCCCTACACCATGACCTTTTATTTATCTTAATACTTTGATATAGCACCTTCTGGAAATCTAAATATTATACATTCACTGGTTCCCCTTTATCTTTAGCACAAGTTATTTTTTGAAGAGCTCCAATAATTTAATTAAACATGATTTCCCTTTCACAAAACTATTTTGGCTCTGCATGATTACCTTGAACTTATTCAAGTGTCCTGTTATAATGGCCGAGGAAGGTCAAAAATCACACGACACCAGGTTATATTCCCACAGGTTTATTTGAAAACAAGCTTTCAGAGTCTCACTCCTTCTTCAGGTGTGTTTTTTGACCTTGCCAGCCCAGTCCAACACCAGCACCTCCACATTACGGCTGAGGAACCTGTAAATCTGATGTTCTCCTGCAGGGATATTCTGGAACTGAGGTAACTTACCTCCAACATCTACAAACGTCTTCGTTTGTGACAGATGTGCCACAAGTGAGTTTATCATTTCAGTTCAATAATTTCTGATGAGGACTTCCAGCATTTTTTTGCTTCTATTTCAGCATTAAAGCCTTATCCCATGATGGTTATAAGTGTATGAGGTCTCCAGCAGCAAATTGCCTTTGTGATACAAATTGCTCATTTTACTGTGATAGGCAACAAAGGACGGCAGGCAGAGATAGAACAATTCTACCGGAGCCAGTGGAGGTTTATTACTTGAACTGAGTATAAGGAGCTTTGCCTGTGATCATGTACTTGGAATAATTAGTATGACATTGGAGGAGGTGGTGGTGTAGTGCCAATGTCGCTGGACTACTAATTCATAAACCCAAGCTAATATTCTGGAGATGTGTGCTTGAATCCCACCACGGCAGGTGATAAAGTGTGAATTCAGTAGAAGTCTCGAATAAGAAGCTAACCTAAATCCAGCCATGTAACCAACTACTGACCTTTGTAAATAAAGTTAGAATTAGAATTACCCATCTGATTCAGTCTTTTAGGGAAGGAAATAGCTTTCTTTACCTGGTCTGGCTGACGCATGACTCCAGACCCAAGCAATGTGAACGACTTTTAACTGCCCTATAAGTAATTAGAGATGGGCAATAAATCCTGATCTAGCTAATGATGTTCACATCTCATAAATAAATAAAAAATATATCAGCTGGGATTTACCATAATAAATTTATTTAAATACCATTCAGTTCGTCCTCTAAACACAGCAATTTTTTCAGAGCTAAGACATTTTCCAGATTTGGAGCAGGCTTTCAATCTTGGCCAGGGATTGAATCAGCATAGGGAAAGGATAGTGTAGAGAATAGATTGCAATGGGATTTGGAGCTTATCATTCTCTTTATAGAGTATAATGCCAGACAGCTAAATGCATTGTTCAATCAATGCAAATACCTTCAAGGTATTTTCAATTTAAATCTCCCATCTACTGCCCTATAACAACGTTTACTGATAGGGACACAGATGTGCCACTCATGTTTATTATCAAGAAAACCCAAATGATTGAAGAAATGTTTTAAGATATTTTCCTCCCATTTTTGTGCAATTAAAAAATTCCCAACTCATATTTGGAAAGATGTATCATCTGTTTAATGCTATATTAAATAACAAATACTGAAAGTGGCAGATGACCTAGTAGAGATATCCTTGAAGTCATTAAATTGATGCCTATGATGCCAGTGAAACCAAAGCCACCATGAATGTGGTGTAACAAATCCCACTGTATGTGCTGAAAACTGGTGTGTGTTTCATCTTCAATACCTAGCCTTGGTGAGGGAAAAAGAAAATAAATCTACATTCCTAAATATATATGTCCTTGTAAACTGTTTTCTATTTTTAAAATATATCAGTACAAAGCATTTATTAAAATAGAAGCCACGTCTCTGTCAGGATTGCTGCTTTTGCAGGAGGTGGGTTTACTGTAGATCAAATCAATAGATTCATCTCCAACCAGACTTTGCAGCTTGTACATTTTAGAATAATGGAGGTAAAAGCAGAAGATGCTGTAAACATTTGGCAAGTTAAACAACATGTAAGACAAGAAAGTAGACTTAACATGTCAAGTTCCTGACTGTTTTTCAGCACTGGAAGACATGGGGCATGTCACAGTTTATACAGTATAAAGAAACAAAACTAGGAAAATAGTAGAGATGACTGACTATAAATATATCAATTGTTACAGTTCACTGTAGACATTTTGTTAGGAAAATAGAGAAAAACGAACAGTTCATTTGAAAGCACATTACAGTGACATATCTTTGCCAATATATAAATTATATAAAAGAATACAAATAATCCTGTTGTAACTATAGTCTATAGAATATGGGTGTTGGGGAGGATTTTCAGTATTATGTGACAGTTAGCTATTTTGCGTCATGAACATCTTTAGTTAAAAACAGCTGCATATCCTAAAGGACATTGTGACGCAGAGTGAAAAGCTTTAGTTTCTTCAGTAAACCAGTATTAACATGCTGATGTTTTAATTAGCTTAATAACAGAATTCTTATACAGTTGGAAAAATATTTTTCAGATATGAAGTATACTTTTATCCACAACCAAATAACATACTTTACTTGTAAGATGCACCAGAAGAAACGTAGGTACCAGTTTAATAAATCTTTGTTTTTACAGATTATCGAAACTATCAGTAAACAGTAGAAAAAAAGTTGTAAATGTGATATATTGCTGAGTATGCTGAATGTGAAACCATTGTGTTCTACGAGGATGTTACAATAAGTTTTTAAATATGATTCCATAAAAGTTAGCTAGTACCTCATTTCTGAATGTGGCTGACAGAGGCATACATGTGCATCTATATGATCCACGTGAGTGCTGATACATTTGGACATGTTGATTAAATAGTTTCACAGAAGGGGTAAACTTAGTTCTGCTTCATGTCTGGGTCTCTAACCAGACTCAGTAGCTTGTCCATTTTAGCGACTTCCACTTCAGGCCCTTTTTGTACTTCTTGGCCTTTCTTTGCCTAAAATTGAAAGGGATAATAGTTTAGAGCAAAAAAGCAATATCCTTCATTGCATTGTTGGAGAAACATTTACAAGTTTTTTTCGGTTGGATTATACAATAAATTACATGGTGAGATGTCACATTTTTAGCAGCTTTCAATTTCTGTACAAGTGGCAAAATTGGCAAGATCAGATTATCCATCCATGATACTCCTTTCAACAATTAAGGAAAATTGAGTAGGTTGTAATAGTAGGCAGCCAATATTAGCTTCTTCACCTGTGCCAGAGTTCAAAGGTTGCCTATTATTTTTCATCAGCTGAGATTGTTTTTAACAGAAAAGGGAAAACAATGGTATGTAAATTAACACCTTGCTATTTCATTTTCAGTGCCAGTTTGAAAACCAAGTTAGTTTGAGGAGAGAAAAGTCTGCTGAGCAAAACAGATTAATAATCAGCACAAATAGTAAGAACTGCAGATGCTGGACTCAGAGATAACACAGTGTGAAGCTGGAGGAACACAACAGGCCATGCAGCATCGGAGGAGCAGGAAAGCTGACGTTTTTGGTCAGGACCCTTCTTCAGAATGGGAATGGGGAAGGGAAGTAAATAGAGAGAGGAGGGGTGCATCTGGGGAAGGTAGGTGGGATGGTGATAGGTGAGTGCAGGGACGGAGTGGTGGGGATTGGTCAGTGAGGTAGGATAGGTGGCAGAGAAGATGATGGACAGGTTGTGTCAGGCCAAGGAGGTGGAGATGAGAGGGAGGGTTGGTCATGGGATGAGGTTGGGGTGGGTGATTTTGAAACTGGTAAAATCCACATTTAGGCCATTGGGCTGTAGGCTCCCTGGGTGGAATATGAGGTGCTCCTCCTCCAGTTGGCGGGTGGCATCATTGTGACACTGGAGGAGGTCCAGGTGGACATGTCACCCAAGGAGTGGGAAGGGGAGTTGAAATGGTTCGCGACCGGAAGGTGTTGTTGTTTATCGCAAACAGAGCGCAGAAGCTCTACAAAGCGGTCTCCAGAGTCGATGCTTGGTCTCACTGATATATAAGAGGCCACATTGGGAGCAGCGGATGCAATAGACCACGTTGACAGATGTGCAGGTGAACCTCTGTCTAATATGGAAGGTTTGTTTGGTGCCTTGAATGGAGGTGTAGGGGCAGGTGTAGCACTTCCTGTGGTTGCAGGAAAAGGTGCCGGGGGTGGTGGGGTTAGTGGGGAGTGTGGACCGGATGAGGGAGTCGCGGAGAGAGCGGTCCTTACAGAAGGCAAATAGGGGTGGGGAGGGAAATATATCTTTGGTTGTGGGTTGGATTGCAGGTGGCGGAGAATGATATGTTACTGCCAGTATAGCAGCGGAAGAGGGACTGTTCCACATATCTTACAAAGAGGTAGGCATAGCTTGTGCCCATGCAGGTTCCCATGGCTACCCACTTAGTCTGTAGGAAGTGGGAGAAGTTAAAGGAGAAGTTGTTAAGGGTAAGGACGAGTTCAGTTAAGCGGATGAGGGTGTTGGTGGAGGGGGGCTTGTTGGGACTGCAGGAGAGGAAGAAGTGGAGGGCTTTTAGGCCATCCGTGTGGGGGATACAAGTGTACAGGGATTGGATGTTCATCATGAAGATGAGGTGTTGGGGGTCAGGGAATTGGAAATCTTGGAGGAGGTGGAGGGTGTGGGTGGTGTCCCGGATGTAGTTCCTGAACAGGGGGCAGAAAACAGAGTCAAGGTAAGCGTTGATAAGTTCAGTGGGGCCGGAGCAGGCAGAGACAATGGGTCGGCCGGGGCAATCAGGTTTGTGGATTTTAGGAAGGAGATAGAAACGGGCGCTGCAGGGTTGGGGAATGATGAAGCTGGAGACTGTGGATGGGAGGTCACCTGAGTTGATGAGGTTGTGAATGGTTTGAGAGGTGATGTTTTGATGGTCAGGGGTGGGATCATGATCGAGGGGGTGGTAGGAAGATGTGTCAGAGAGTTGGCGCCTGGCCTCGGCGATGTAAATATTCAGCACACAATAATCAGCACACAGCTACATGATTTCCCCCCTTAACTAGCAGTGGTAATTGGGAATGGAAGTGTGATTAGCAGATGGTGATGTGAGATTAGGAATATATATTAGGAGGATATATTCGGCGAAATTCCTATTGTGTGGTAGCGTGATGAAGTAATAAACCTGTCATGAAGTATGCCTACGATTTTGCTATTCCTAGCATAGATAGGAAACCTTATCTCATTGCTTGTAGAGTACAGAACACATTTTATCCTCAAATGAACTAATTTAAATTTGATCATCATGTTGACATTGGACACCACCACATAGGCTTTTCATCAGCCCACCACAAATTGGGCTTGAATTATTTAGTAATGGTAATTTTTATCATTCAGCTTTATCCCTCCCCTGGATGATTCAATATTACCATCAAAACTTGTTCATCAGGGAATATTATTTGATAATGCTGCAAAATCATCAAGTAAAAAAATTATAAGAAATCGGCTCACTATATATTCTTCAGATGACTACAAACTGGAAACTTCAGGTAAAGTCTATATAAATTAAATCAAACTCCATGTGAAAAATTCGCAATGCTGCAAAAAACAAACTGCAGCTTTGGAGTGAAAACAGAGTATTTGTGTGAGATCTGATAGTTAAAGGACATTCTGGAATTTAGTAAGTCACAGTGGGGATTTTAAATCATTCCATTTGTAGTTTTTCTCTATGCCTACATAGTTGAATATGTCAAGATCTTCTGGAGTTAACTTTAGATCTTGGATTAGTGCCAGAAATGAGCCTTTTTCTTGTAATAATGCAGATTTCTGTGGGAATTTGTTCTCATGATTGGAGATTATTTGATTACTGAACTAAATCCATTTGTTGCAACAACTGCAGCAAACATGAATTTAAAACTATTTGTTTGTCTTGGCAATTGGATTTTGACACATTTAATAATAAAGAAAATGCAAAAATGTATGGACAAGAAAAGGCCCTTTGGTCTATGAAGTCTGAAATTGTTGAACCAAAATATATAAACAGTTGAATTATTAGGAATTATGCTAAGTATTAATGGAACGGAGGGAGACTTAAAATTTAAATAGAAACTTCCATGCTTTCAGGATATTCCCCAACGCTTTGTAGTAATTTAAGTCCATCTGAACATAGAAGGTAGAACATAGAACATTACAGCGCAGTACAGGCCCTTCGGCCCTCGATGTTGCGCCGACCTGTGAAACCAATCTGAAGCCCATCTAACCTAAACTATTCCATTATCATCCATATGTTTATCCAATAACCATTTAAATGCCCTTAAAGTTGGTGAGTCTACTGCTTTTGCAGGCAGGGCATTCCACGCCCTTACTACTCTCTGAGTAAAGAACCTACCTCTGACATCTGTCCTATATCTATCACCCCTCAATTTAAAGCTATGTCCCCTCGTGCTAGCCACCACCATCCAAGGAAAAAGGCTCCCACTGTCCACCCTATCTAATCCTCTGATCATCTTGTATGTCTCTATTAAGTCACCTCTTAACCTTCTTCTCTCTAACGAAAACAGCCTCAAGTCCCTCAGCCTTTCATCATAAGACCTTCCCTCCATACCAGCCAACATCCTGGTAAATCTCCTCTGCACCCTTTCCAATGCTTCCACATCCTTCCTATAATGCGTTGACCCAATACTGTACGCAATACTCCAAGTGCGGCCGCACCAGAGTTTTGTACAGCTGCAACATGACCTCATGGCTCCGAAACTCAATCCCTCTACCAATAAAACCTAACACACCGTATGCCTTCTTAACAACCCTATCAACCTGGGTGGCAACTTTCAGGGATCTATGCACAAGGACACCGAGATCTCTCTGCTCATCCACACTACCAAGAATCTTACCATTAGCCCAGTACTCTGTAATTCCTGTTACTCCTTCCAAAGTGAATCACCTCACACTTTTCTGGGACCATTGTCACTGTTAGAATGTAGTTTGAGATGTATACCTTATTATTTCAGAAGTGACACTTCTCGAATGACCGCCACGCAATGAAAGTTACTAGTCTGAACATCGTATGTTATATCCTGCCTGCTCTTTCTTGTGTACTCTACTTAGTTTTATAATTATACCACTCATTAATGAGAAACTAAATGGACCACCAGCAAAAACACAAACGCAACCCTAATTTCTCCCATCATTTTCAGCTTTCTTTCTCACTTGTGTATAGAATACTTAACTTGAAAAATACAGTGTGCTGAAGAAATGCAGATAGATGTCCTCATATTAAATTCAACTGATTTTGAACAGCTTGGATTTGAAAAAGAAAATGGAAATTGGTATTGATACCTCCTCTTCATAGTTACTTAAGAAATTCAGGCTGTAATTAAGTAAACAACCTCTTGCTGCTACTTTAAAAACTGATGGCGCAAAATTTCTCATTTTCTCCCTTGTGCTCCTACTCACTAGATAGATGCAGATAAGAACTGGAGAAACATTGGTCCATCAGTTCAAACAGACTCTGCACACAGAACTAAATCAAGTGGCTTGTGAAACAGAATAGCAATGGAAATTTGGTGAGAGTGCTGCAAAAATGGTCTTGTAGCTCAATGATGTTATACCTCCTTGCTGCTGCAGACAGCAAGTCCTTGCATCCAAATTGATAGAAACACAGGTGGTCAGGAGTGAAAGGAGAAATGTGGACTTAGAATGAATAGTGACTAGGAGGCAAGGTGCGAGGGTTTGGGGGTTGGTACATGTTTTGACTGAGGTCTAGATAGGCAGGGGCAGTGATATCTAAGACAGGGGGAAGAGTGTGAAACTGGACCGGTGAGTCAGGCAGATAAAAGACTACTGGATAATAAATGCCAGGAAGAATAGGATACTGGGAATGAGGATTGGTATGGGGGTAAGAAACCAGTGGGGATTTGGTGGAAAAACGGAAAGAAATGCTACTTTTTATATCTTTCTTTCAGCCTTCAATAGCTGGTGAGTGTTCAAAGACAGAGGAAATAGGTGGTCGATTGGTGAGTTTTAAGATTTTATCCCTCTG